AGCCTTCTTTACAGATTTAATTGATCTAAATAACAAATGGGTGTTTCGTTCGTTTGTGGACGAGTTCAGTTTTGGTGTACTCAGTGTGATTTATTTCACAGAACTGAACTATAACTGGCTAGCTACTAGGATCAAATTCACTAATTAATTCACGATTTGCAATTTCAACTGGTTTTGAAGTTATCTAGTTCTCCAAACTGAGTCAAATTGGGTATTTCAATGACTAACAAATGTTGACTCCCTCATATACATAAACGTCTACACCAGTTCCTTCCCCTGTTCTTGATATAATCATACAATTATATGAAGCTTGTAGCTAATAAAATTCAATCTGAACACTAGTCATGAGTACTCCTTACTATATATTCGTTTTTCTTCATGATCAAATCTGATGTTCAATTTAGTGTTACATTTATGCATACTGTCACATACACACACATATTTCGAACTGTAATCCTTTTGCATATATATCTCTTGGGATTCACATGTCGGTGAATCGATGTTTTTTAACAAGAAACCATTAATTTTACCTGATAAATGGGGACTACCACTAGAATCCAGGAGGTGTATTTCTTCATATTTTGGGACTCGTAGTGTGGATTTACCTGCATTCCCCAAGGAGTGATGCTGTTCGTAGTGAGAGTCTAATCCAGTACCAAGCGTTTCAAACGCCGAAGCGCTATCCTATACACCACTTGGGCCACAAGAGCCACCTCTTGTGTATTGTGGATAAGTTATTATATCATTTCCTGTTTTTCCCACTGATTAACTGGGCCGAAATATTTGCCTTCTGTTGGCATTTTGGCTCCTAATACAGACGTTTCAACGAAGTCTGGGAGTTGACATTTACGTTATTTTAGTGGATAGTGACTAGCAGTGAAATTCAGGAGACGATATGTCAATAAAAGTGAAATATTTCGGTCCATCCAATCAACAGGAAAAGCAGAATTTGAAGACAAGCGTCAGTTTTGTCGATTGTAGTTGTTCTTTAAGGAGTATGGATAATTTTTGGACCCGATGAAGAAGAAGTTATCAAAAAGAATATTCTTTACTCACTAATAATCAGTCTTTTAATACCCATTTATGTGATTTCTCCATTTCTGTATGTCACATGAGTGGTATTTCTGTAGGCTACATCTATTCTGATTTCGGTCATACTACATTCCAAGCTAACCGATGCGAAGTGATTAGTCCTCATAGGCTTCTGACAAAAAGATGAACTAAAAACTTAAAATGCAAAGTATTAAAACCATTTACAACGCCCGCGAACAAATACGGCTGATGAGAGACAGAAAAAGTCGACACAATATGATAGCCGTCAACCACTGAGGTTTATTAATGGAATGGGTTCATGAAGACTTAACGTAAATGAAATGTTCTCTGTGATGTAGAATGTATCTTCAACAATTTCCTAAAAAAGATAGCTGGAATTATGGTAAAAACACTTTTAGTAGTGATTCAGTCAGTGTAAAGCTGCAGAACAATCGCCCACTATTTTACATCAGGCTACATGTTATGTAGAAATCAGTTGTCTAACTTTAGCTGAGTTTGAAAAAGCTGTCCACAATCTAGAATGAGATGAAGCAAAAAAAACCTGACGTTATGATTCCAGAGGTGTTATGACTGCACTGAACTTAATAAATCCGTTGCCACTTTGTTATAATTTTGCTGCCTAATTGTTATAACGGTTATGAACACGACTGGTATGCTAATACACCTATTTGTCCGTTCTACCTTACGATTCACTGAGCCACGCAAATATCAATAGACAAAGGCTGGCCTGTGACTGTAAGATATTGTATCGTACGTTTATTGGGAAACAAAGCGTATTCATACATTTTCTTTACCGTGATAAAGCCGGCTTACAGCCATGAGAATGGATTAATCCTATCAGCTGGAAATTTCTATCCTGATACATTGAAGATCCGATGAATTGACCAAACACTAATTCACAATATGCGTGAGAAATGATAGATGAACATAGTAACTCCATCACAAGATAAATCACATGATTCGTGAGAATGTATGATATACCATTTTATGCTGATTACTATCAAGAAATGCATGCGAATGGTGGTGCTGAACCATTGGCATATTAAAAGAAGGTATCAACTAAGAATCAGGGACATTGCAATCACAGTACTATAGATTATTGATCATCCCAATAAATACAATAAGCATAAAGAATCAGCCTAAGTAACTTGGCATCTGAAACTCAAGATTCAATAACACTGTAGAAACTAAGGCTAGCTCAGGTAAAATACCCCATGTTGGTTATGGTAATGCCATTCTGGGATACCCGGTGTCATGGTCCATATTCTGTTATTATTTATGCCTTTCAATGATTGACGTGTAAATAAGAGAAGTCCTGAATGACTCAGATTTCATAAGATGTAGCCCAATTACTTGGAGAAGTTGGAAAATTAGGGAGCTTCTTTAGCTAAAGTCTCCTTACATTTGTTACACAGTCTTGTCCAATCGAATTTAAAGCAGTTGTTTATGACTGAACTACAGAGACTCCTAGCTTAGGAACGGGTAATAAACAATTTATCTGTTTTTAAAGTTGCACTATCCGTAGTGAACACTTTTATTACAAGCGTGATACCGGTCACTCATCAAAGGAATGACATGTTGTTTGTGTATAACATTGTGCTTACAAGAGATGGCCGTTGAAAGTGAAATATGTCAGAATATTGGAGAATTTTTCCATATTTGTCTTCCCTGGTTACATGGGGGTAATACGACAAATAATAGTCAAATTCGTTAAAGACACGAATATTCACCTGGAGCTCTTCAGAAACTGTCTCTGTTTCAAGCACAATATCATGTGAAGTCGGATTAGATTAAAGAATAAATATGCTATCAGTACATTAACTTATCAGCTATTCATGAGTCATTTAGATAAGGGACGAGGGAAATCTCCTTGGAGTCATCACCACGCTGATCTCTCCTCCATTCAGCCAGATGAAAATCAGCTATCGTTATGAAAATAAGGTCAATTATTATGCCATTTAAAAGAATTTCATTTTGGTTTGATGGGTAAAAAGGACATAATGGGGCATGTTGTGACAAGATTTTTGACTATGTGAAGAAAGGAAAGAGTGAATATTTCAGCAAATAACGAGGAAATTCCTCCAATATCTTAGACAAACGGTAATAAGCCGCATCACTTACTTTTATTGTTCAGTATATTACCCCTCAGAAACGTTGTATGCAACCTAACCCAAGCTGTTGTTACAGATACGGAATAACACTGGGGTTGTTTTACTTTGCTGAGTGGTGTATTAACTCTACAATAATTGGTGCAGCTTGGTAACTTCTTTTTTCTCAATTCAATATACCAAAATATACTTTACATTTCCTATCCTTAAACCAAATCTATCTACAAAATAACAATGAAACACCTTCTTCTTTGTAAAGAGTTGGTTTGCAGGGATTAGATTGGCTACAGGCTTGGTCACGACTTGACATCAGTTAGAGAACCACTGAAAGTCAGGGAGTACTAGGCAGTTGTATCATTCTAGTTTGGGAATCATCAGCAGTACGCACCCACCAATAGGATTCGAAGCTACAACCTTCCGTTTACAAAGACCCGTTTCAGTGGCCCATGAATTCTAACTTCTACCAATTCGTTATTTAAACCGACCACGAGCCAGTGTCATCGGCGGGAACTTCATCCTCACTCCCTACTGGATGAACTTCACTGGTCATGACTTCTCACTAGAAGTCCAGGAAACTCCGTCCAGTAGCAAGTCATTAGCCAGCATCAGATTAATTTTCAAGAGTTGATTTGTAAGAATTAGATTTGTTTTTCGAGTTTGACCACGGATCGATATCAATTGGAGAACCATTGAAAATGAAGGAGTACTGGACAGCTGTTTCCCGCTAGTTTTGTAACCTTTCAATAGTACATTTATATCACTTGACTACGAATTATAACCAGGATAGGCAAATTAGGAGTTAAGTGCGATACCATTCAACCAGTTGGTAAGATCCCTAATGGTTTCATGAATTAGCATTGGGTTGTCTTGTACTATCTAGCTATCAAAAGATCTCTTAACTCCTATCTGTTTGAAGGTAAAATACAAACCGAAAAGTTGAGTATTTTGGAATATAAAACTGTAATCCCACAACTGAACTGCATATAATCACTGAGGATTAAAACAAAAGTATTAGTAGTTCGGTTGTGAATGGAAGGTATACATGCAGTTCAAAAAGTTTTGAAACATTGAACAGGTCTGGTGTGGTCTGTTGAAATCACAACAACAGATTTTGTCGTAACGTGATGTCCGATAGTTTGAAGACGAGGATAAATGGTGAATATATATATATATATATATATATATATATATATATATGCATCACTGGTTTTCAGACCTTTAACAAACCTGAAGTGAAGTACACAATACTTCCCATCAAATCTGCGAGGTAAGTAAAAAATCTTTTGATTTACTTGAACTGCTTTTGAGGAAGTCGTCGTTACAAATAGCGAAACTGACAGTTGAAATCTACTAGTTTTATGACAACCGATACTGTAACACTCCATACTTTTGATGCTAGAAGCGTTACTTATCCAATAAAAATGAATATTTCTTGCCTTCTCCAAGAATCAAGACATATTTCAGGGATTAGTTTGTACATAGAGGGGTTGACTTGAAGATTAATTTCATCAAGCACTAACATCAGTTAAAGGACTACTTAAACTTATGGAATACCAGAAAAGTAGCGTGTCCTATTAGTGGACTTTCCAGCAATACGCATCTATCATCCTCTCAAAAGTAATGAGCATGTTAGCATTCAGTCACTGGGTTCGAACTCTGGTAGTGTTACAAATAGCATTTTGTCTAAGAGTCTTAAAGCAGGACGAAAATCTTGTCAGCAGTTTCGTAAATAACTTCTGTTCATAATGAAATTTAATTTAAAATCACTATCAAATCTCTAAATAGTAAAGTTTGTCCATAGAAATATGCATTGCACAAGTGAATCACATGTAAACTTACTTGTAACCAATTCAAATTAGTCAGAGAATCATCCTGTTCTTGTCCACTGAATACTGATTCTTCAGAACTACGTGTTAACCAGTTTTCTCTTAACTTTTTAGCCAAATAATCACTTGTATACTCAAACATCATTTTCTGTGCAGGATGATAATAATAACAATGAAAAAATCACACCGTAATAGTGATGAGAATGCAGGGGGAAAATTTCCCCTTCACAATATAATTACTGCAGTAATAATAACCATAATATTAACAATAGTAATCGTAGCTGATTAGTAATAATTATTATGTGTATATGTATAATACTAATATTGATTTCTTTGATATAGTAGTAATTTTCAAGGCGAAATCAATTCTCATTCAATCATCATCATTTTCATTAAATTCTACTAGTCAAACGGGCTGGATTGGCAGCAGTTTTATTTATCTTTTTTTAACAAAAAGAATGACTTATCAGAGTACATAAATACCTTCACGATCTCGACTTAACATTTCATGAAATTTATGAATAGGATATACTTTAAGTGAATATTATGTCCAAACGAAGTAAATTACTCAAGGACGAATAAGAAAACTGATTAGAAATATTAGTTCTATTAGTATCTACCATATACTACTTCTATAGGATTCAGACACTTCGTTTGCATATCACACTAAGCATTTCTAACACGTTTCAGACTTTCATGAACAGCTGCCTTCTTCTGTAGCTCTACAATGAAGATCATATGGCAGGCTGGGATGGATTAGCAGCAAGTGATTCTGAGAAAGAACTAATCAACAACGCACCACTCAACAAATATGCTGAAGAAAATGAAGGTGGATCAGATACATGCCAAGGAGACAGTTGATTGATATCTCCTGCCAGGCAGATCCTCTGTTAAAGCCTGAATGGGAAACGATCAGTTGGAAGTGGGTCTGTGGGTGATGTGGAGGGGATCGAGCGAGGAGGAGGAACAAAGCTTATGGACAATCCTTGAGTCATCTAAAGACAACTACAGAGAACAGGATGAACTGTAGATGTGCTGTTGCAGTATGACTGATGTCAGTTAACTGATAGTGGTGGTATTCACCAGTAAGGCTAATTTACTAAATCAAGGGAAATGATGTATTTTCAGAGACTAAAACAAACATCCCTAAGAATTTCATTTAGTCCAAGACGTCACTAATAAATTATTCGGAATAGTGCAGCTGGACTGTATGTGATATACTGACTGATTAACAGGGTTTAATCGATCATCTCTACATAGTCTTCAAGTGTTGGTCGTGACAGAATCTAATCGATGAAGAGACACATGCAACTCTTGAATTTAGTTGTACTGAACCCCACAGGTAGGGAAATGTGTCAAAGCTCAACCCAACGGAGGCCTCATGGTGTGGCGCTTAGCGCCCCGGGCTCTGAATCCACCGACCCGAGTTCAAGTCTCCGTGAGGTATCGAGCAAAGTGCTTCTGCGCGTCTGTGGCACAGCGGTAGAATGTTCACCGACCACTCAAGTGGTCCTGAGTTCGATTCCCGGCCGACGCAGCCTTTTACCTCACTAAGCTAGTAATAAGACTAGTAAAGAAGGAAGACTGGAGTTGAGGCTAGCAGCCCCATGCCGTAAAAATAAATACAACTACCACCGAAACTTCAAGTCCTTAGCTTGAAGTCCTATATTCCACTGGAAACATAAAGGAATAAAATAATAATAATGAGTCCAACAGGCTGAAATGAACCAACGCACTTGGAAAGAGCAATTGCACTGAAGGGGTAAATCTGGTCATTTGACTCAACCCTAAAGCTTATACATCCATAATGCCTCCTTAATTAGATTAACCTAGCTCTGACCTGTCCTTAGTTCAAATCTAACTCTAATCTCTGACTAAGCTGAAACTAACCAGCTGCCCTGTTACAGTCATCACACTTCACTTAACGGTTTTTAAATGGAAACATTGTTGTTTATTTAGTTTCACTGACTTGATCTGATTAAGAGTTCCAGAGCCATTGGTACGTTAGCATCTGTTTAGTGTCTAAAGCTTAACTTTGTCGGAAACATGTTAAGATGACCACGTAATCGCGATATATTCACCACTGTTCGTTAAAAGAATTTAGCTCCTGTTGTGGAATAAATTACAAAACTCAATGATCTAACTGTTCAATTATTATTGGTTTTACACATGAAGTTTGACTAAGAAATCAAGTTTTATTTCCTCTGCTCAGAATGATAATCAGTAACCCTAAGAATCAATATCAAGCACTAGCTAAGCTATTGCTTACCTTCAGATAGTATGACCCTACTTTCTTTCAAATGAAATGGATCAGCTTTTGTAGCTACTTTTTTATTTCATTTCTCCCTAGTATTTGTCTAATTCAATTGTTCTCAGGTATTGGTTTGCGGAAATCTGGTTGATTGCAGGATTTAATCATGAGCTGACATCGGTTAGAGAACCATCGGAAAACCTGGGAGTGCTGGACAGCTCTTTCGTCAGCCTAGTTTGGGAATCTTTAGCAGTACACCAAACCCAGAACCTTCCGGTTACCTGGAAAGCTCCTAGACGATTAATTAAGCCACTGTGACCTTATCCAATACCCTAAGAATTCCAACTTCTCCCGATTCACGATATAGTACGACTACTAGCCAATGTCATCAGTGGCGAGTATTTTTCCTCACACCCAACTAGCTGTTTTGTTTATCTTGATAAATTTGTTGTTAATTTTAATAGTCAAGCTATTATTTCAATAAGAACTTCGTGATGAGTTGACGTTTAATGAGTAACTACTGGAAATTAGGGAGTAGTGGTTAGCTACTTTGTCCTAGTTCTTGACTTTATAACGGTACATAACCGTTACCCCATCAAGGATTAATTCTAGGATTTCCGAATTATGAGATGAACAAGTTTAAAATTGCGTCATTACATCAGATGCCGACTACTCATGAAATTTGATTCTTGCTAATTTGTGATATATAGTATCACTTCTATCCACTGTTACAATCGAATATCTGTTTTCACATCTGACTTAGTGGAATACCATTATTTACGACTTCTCCTTAGAACTACAGCGTTCACTCACCAATATGTAAGGGATTAATTCTCAAGCATTGATTTGTAGGTATTTGACTGATTTTAAGGGTCAGTTTTTATCACAAACTGGCATCGATTGGAGAACCATGAGAATCCAAAGATCGATCTTTGACAGGTTCCTGAGGGCGTACTGTGGAGGAGTCTCAAGCTAGAAAGAGGCAGGTTTCTAATAACCCTTGCTTTTCTATAGTTATTAAAGTGATTTCACTTAGTGATGCAATGTACAATGAAAACGATCAAACCCCTGCAAATCAACACTTGAAGCTTAAGTTAATATCACTGATGCATTTCAGTACTGGCTATTAAGACTATCTGAGATAACTGTTGTTTTGCAGCCTGTCATATATGTAATTCATGTTGAATGAATGTGAACCTGTGATTTACAAATACGCAGCATGAAGGCCACTGATTCGAATCCTGTAACCATCTATGTTGACATTCTACTTTCAGTCAATACTGACTGTAAACTACTTTAGGGTATTTGGTGAGACTTAAGTGTAAAACCTAAATTTCGTTGCGCATACAGTGATATATTTACTTCCTCGAGTAACTTCTCAAACTAAGAGTAAATATCTAGAATCAGGAATAGCTAATATCTTATCGGTTTATTAAAATACATCAGTACGTTTTTATGGTTGCAAAAAAAAGTAGTTTTATTTGTAATATTGGACAAGTTTTTCAGTAAATATTTAAAGAAAAACAAAATTTTGTGCAGTTCTTTGTAAGTATTTCAGCATTATAAAACAGTCAGTTGTGGTAATGATAAAGCTATTCTAGGTTATTTCATTTCTCTACGCTCTTTTCAGTGAATAGGGATAATGAGCAAAATTTTAAGTCAAACTAAGCAGCTACTCATGAGTCACCAGTCTGATACTCTCCTGGACGGGTCACTGGATCAGTAATACAGTTTTGCCTCCCAGCAACAGGCCAGTTACTTTATCCTTTTCTCTTATTCTAAGTGTAATCCTAGTAAATTATCAACGACCGATTTCTTCATTAGGCTGATTAAGATAGTTTTGGAAAGTCAGTTTGTAGGAGTTTGATTGGCTTCAAGTTTGATTAGATAGTGATATTAGTTAGACGACCGTCGAAAACCAGGGAGTATTGGAGATCTTTTGCGCCAGTTTGAGACCCTTTATCAGTATGCATCCACCAGAGTTCGAGCCTGGACCTCTTGGTTACAGGGCGAGCTTGTAGACCATTCAGCCATTGAGACCCAATTCAGTGGGCTTTGAATCCCAACACCTACGAATACGAGCTTGCCTTGTAACCATTAGGTCCTGGACTTGAACCCCAGTAAGTGCATAATACTGGAGAGTCCTAAACTAGAGCGAGGAGGCTCTCCAGTGCTCCCTGGGTTTCATTGGTTCTCTGACTGGCATAAATTCATGATCGAACATGTAAATGAGACCGTCTTAATAGTAACTGTTTATTTAACGATGATGTGTGGATTTGTTATAAAAAGTCATGATGGCTATTATGAAGAAAATAAAAATTAATTCAGCGAAAAAAATTTTTTCCTTATCGACGAAATCATATCAGAAGGCTGTACAACCTTACTTATATAAACCAAGAGCATATAGTAGTCTACTATTAGACAATTGACGGTGGCGATGACATTGATGCTCTCACTCAAAAAATGGCTTGTACAGATAGCGTATTGCGTGATAGTAAGGGTTTGGAACTCATTAAAGTGAAAATTGTTACTCGATGAGAAGCAAGGTAGTTGAACCTTCACTTGACACGTGTAAAGAAGGAGAGAAAAGACTTAGTGAACAGCACAAAAGAAACAAGTGAGAGTGATAGTAGTGAATTAGTTACCAGAAATAAACCAACGAGTGGGAAAGGGCTTAAGAGCATGGTAGGATTAAAAAGTGAACGAAATTTTTTTGTACACAGAGTTCAGCGTTACATTGACGGGTCCCTAACATCTTCATACACAAGTGATGAAACCTAACTCCCCTTCTGCCGCTTCGTCACCAGAGTTCGCTGGGTGCACAATAATTAAGCTAATAATTTTCTTGTGTTTTCCCCTTGATAATTATGTCGGATAGCGTTCAGAGATGCGTATAG